TAGTCCTTTGTCTTTTTTACCAGTTTAAACGAAGTATAAAAACCTTACTCCCTTGAAGGAATCCACCAAATAAAAGCTGTGATTGCCTTCTGACATTTTGGGCAGTAGCCCCACAGGGACAGATGGGTGTCACGTTTCTAACTAGGATGATTGACAATGATTAGCATGAAGACTTATGGCTGCTACTACACATGGGGGCAGGAGATAATATGTCTTAAACCTAGAGTATTCACTTGGGTATCTCTTAGTGCTTCCATGAACAGTAATAAATGTTAATGAGCAATTTCAGTCATCCACCACCAAAAGAGGAGAGTAACTAAAAGCTCAAATCCTTCAGGCATGAAGGCCTCATATATTCTACCAGACATCAACACAGACCTGCCAAAGTGATAGCAAAGGTGAGAGGAATCCAGAATGAGTAGTGGAGAGTAGAGATAACAAACTTTATTTATAACCTTAAGACAATCTACAGTAATGGGGATTGTATCTTGTTTCACCACCCTTTTGCTTAAAACTTTCCAGCTCATGGGCACCTGGGTGGCTCAGTTGGTTAAGCGACTGCCTTCGGCTCAGGTCATGATCCTGGAGTCCCGGGATCGAGTCCCGCATCGGGCTCCCTGCTCAGCGGGGGGTCTGCTTCTCCCTCTGACCCTCCCCCCTCTCATGCTCTCTCTCTCTCTAGCTCATTCTCTCTCAAATAAATAAATAAAATCTTAAAAAAAAAAAAAACTTTCCAGCTCATAACTGGCCACCACCTTGAAGGATATTCTGAGTTGTATACCTACCCTACTTGGGAATAAGCATGGCTCAATGCATTTTAACAACAACAAATGGAGTTCCCATATTATGGAATGGGAGGTGAATGAAATGGGAAGCTACAAACGGATCTGCGTGAAAACGCATGGATTATCTTAGCTGGTGCACCTCTTCAGTAATAATCCGGTGAACTAAATTCTTGAATTTTATTTTTTTTAAGATTTTATTTTTTAATTATTTGTCAGAGAGATTGAGAGAGAGACAGCGAGAGAGAGAACACAAGCAGGGGGAGTGGCAGGCAGAGGCAGAAGCAGGGAGCCCGATGCGAGACTGGATCCCAGGATCCTGGGATCATAACATGAGCCAAAGGCAGACGCTTAATCGACCTAGCCACCCAGCCGTCCCTGAAATTCCTGAATTTTAAATGTCAAATGTGCCTTACATTCTCAGAATACACTCTACTTGGTCATGATGCATTATCCTTTTTATACAAACTCTAAATTTGCTAAGTGCTATTTGATAATACTTTGCTGAGGATTTTTACTGTTTTGCAATTCTTTATTTTACCGCTTTCTGCCATTATCTTTCTTCCCTTTCTTTATTCCTTTAAGATTACTCTTGTTACTCTGTCTCCAATTTATTAATTTGAATACTTAGATCATTTGTTTCAACTGTAGTTCTTTCCTGGTAAGTTTATTTAAAACTAAAGCTATCTTTCTTATTACTGCTTTTGATTTATAATTTGTTTCTCTTTATTGTTTCTTTATTCTTTCCAAGTATTCCATAATTTCTCTCATGATTTCCTTTTGAACCCAAAGTTTATTTAGTATACTTCACTTCATATTTAGTATACTTCACTTCATATTTAGTAATACCTTCTTAAATTTCTAGATATTTGGTAATTTTAAAGCTCTCCTTTTATTATTAATTTCTAACTTTAGAGCATTACGGTTAGAGAACATATTTGCATGCATTATGGTTCATATCAGTGGAAACACACACATATTTATCTTTAGAACTTACTGAGACTTGCTTTGTGGAAGGAATATATACTGATATTTTATTTTTGATTAAAAGAATGGGAATTTCCTGTTAGGTGCTGATATATTATGTATAATAAAAAACTTAATCATTTCCATTTGCTGTATTTTCTTCTGATTTTTTCTTTCTCACTGCTTCCCATTTAAGAAGTCATTTTTTTTTTTCTGAGATTGGTTTGAAAGTTACACATCCTATTTTGAAAGCTAAGATGCTTTCCCTTAACTTAAAACGCATGGTTTTAATTGATCCCCATGGATTTCTTAAATACATCTCTATTTTCCTCCAGAAAAAACAAGATATTTATTATGCTCTCCTGTCCTTATATTTCCCTACTAGCATCTACTATAGAGAGTTGACACTGTCTAGCATTTTAGAATTTTATTTCAGAAGTTTTTTTAATATTTTGCCTTTGCTCTTTTAGTCAGAAATAAACTTTGCTGTGTTATTTCCCCACCCTATTTCCCATAATTCTTGCATCATCTTCCTGGATGTGTTTTTTATTTCTTATTTGAGTACTTTGTTCAAGGGTGTTTTCAAGGTAGATCTTTGTCTAGAGAACTTTTAGGCCTTATAAATTGAGAATAATTTCATTATGCCCTCAAATTTACGAGGATATTTACATGGATATTAATTTTTATATTTAAAGTTATTTTCTTTAATACTTTTCAAATTGTATTCAATTGTCTTCCTATATCCAGTATGTCATTGATACATCTGAATTTAATCTTATTATTGTTCCTTTGTATGTAATCCTCTCTGTCTCTTGGAAACTTAAAGTGTTATCTTTGTGATGTTCTTAAATCTTTTAATTACTCTTGCTTGCAAACTCATGGGCTCTTTCATTCTGAAGTTGTTCATATACTATATTTTTGGAAAATCTATGACCATTACTCCTTGAAATATTTTCTTACCTCTGCTTTTGCTTTTTATCAGACTTATTTTCTAGATGTTGGCACTTTTATTTATATCCTCTATCTCTCTAACTCCCCACTCCCTTATTTTCTATATTTCTATTCTTCACTGCTTGCTGCCTTTAAGAGAGTCACACTATCTGATATTCTGATTCTGGTTCACTAATTTACATGTATCCATTCTACTATTTATCTCATCTGTTGAATTATTTACTTCAGCTATTATGTTTCATAACTAATACTTCCACTTTGTTCTTTTTATGTTTCATATTCTTAATATCTTCCCTAATAACCTTGAGTATATTCATTGGGTTTATTTTAAATTCTAACTCTTTTCCAATAATTTAGATTCATGTGGTGTATGTTGTTCATTTATATTTATTCCATTTGTGCTTGCAGATGTCAGGTTAATTTCACATGTGAACTCATGTTCACCAGGAATATCATTACCCTGTTTGGTGATAGGTATTCAGAGGAGCCAAAGGTCAGGCCCTAGATTCTGTCCCTCTAGGTCCTCACCTAGAGGAGGCGAGGGGGACAGGGTGATCCTAAAGAAGAATGTATCAGATTTCATGTAATTTCTATCAGCCACTCCCATTGTTGCCACTCCATTGACAATTTCTGTGGTCACTAGGAAGAAGACATCTCCTTAGCTTGTATCCCAATAGCCTTGAAGATTTAGAGAGTGACTGAGTGCCCACAAGCTCTCCTGTTTTCATGAGCTCTTCATGCTAGCAGGGCTTTTAATTGCCCTCATGGCACCTGACTATAGCAGAGATGGCTGGTTTTGCCCTAATGCAAGCTTTGTGCTTCTTCAATGCGAATATAATATTAGCTGGGAATATGGCCACCAAGTATAAAGAATATATTTCCGAGGCCCAGTTGCAGCCAGGTGAGGCCAAGTGACCAAGTTCTAGCCAATAGGATATAAATGGAAGAGGTGTGTGCCACTCCTCCAGATTTTGTCCTTTGTGGGAAAATTTGGATCCTCCAGTTGACCCTTCCTCCCTTCCTATTGGTTGAAATGAAGACCAAGGCAGAGTTTAATGGCTATGGAACCATTCTCTGAGGGTCTCAGAAAAACAAAAGAGAAGTAGCCTGGTGTGCTTGCTGATTTTGTAGCCAACATCTCAAACCTGGACTACTTACAAAGAGAAAGAAATAAATGTCCAGCTTTTTAAATCTACAATCATTTGGAGTTTCTCTATTATAATAGCCAAACCAGGGGTGCCTGGGTGGCTCAGTCGTTAAGTGTCTGCCTTCGGCTCAGGTCATGATCCCAGGATCCTGGGATCGAGCCCCGCATCAGGCCCCCTGCTCAGTGGGAAGCCTGCTTCTCCCTCTCCCACTCCTCCTGCTTGTGTTCCCTCTCTCGCTGTGTCTCTCTCTGTCAAATAAATAAATAAAATCTTATAATAGCCAAACCATAGGCATTTTCCCCACAAAGTTCCTGTTAGGTAGGCAGGAAAAAGTATCAATAATTTTATCTCACAAAAGAGAAGACTAGACTTAAACAAAATAAGTGGAAGCACTGAGGTTAAGATCTGGGACTCCTGGGCACCAATCTAGAACTCTTTCCTTACAAAGTTCTGCAATGAATTTGTTCCATGACCTCAACTTTAGGCAATGATTTTGTATTCACTCTGTCTTGGTATGGAATTGTAACTTTTCCACTGCAGAAATAAAAATCATAAGTCTTGGTTATCTTTGATTTGGTCTTGGTTGAGTCTAGAGGCCACAAGTTTCAACAGAAAGAACCTTGAGAACACACAAGATTCCTCTACTGCAGATGTGAAAATCAGCTTTCACAATCAGCTATGACTTAAGCAGATAAGGAAGAAGTTCAGAGAACAGCTACACACTAGTTGCCATAATATTTAATTTAAATTTATTTATTTTATCTTCTCACTATAAATTGTTCAAAAATCTGCTCACTGGGGCACCTGGGTGGCTCAGCCGTTAAGCGTCTGCCTCCGGCTCAGGTCATGATCCCAGGGTCCTGGGATTGAGCCCCGCATCAGGCTCCCGGCTCAGCGAGAAGCCTGCTTCTCCCTCTCCCACTCCCCCTACTTGTGTTCCCTCTCTCGCTGTGTCTCTCTCTGTCAAATACATAAATAAAATCTTTAAAAAAAAAATCTGCTCACTGACAATGACATAGATCATTCCATATTGTTGAGAGCTTTAATAGCAAAGATTTTTGACTCACAACCTTGAAGCAATAAGTGTTTATATAATTTCTTATTTTTGTAAGAAAAAATAAAGCATATGTATACATGTACACTCAAAGTTGTAAACTCTTTGCCATCCAATATTGTCCTTGCTTGCTAATATTTTGATCACTAATCCATTTTCCATGACCTCACTAATTGAATTTTGGTGAACTAGCATAAAAGGCTGCACAGACTTTTAGAACTAGAATTAAAAACATCGCAAAAGGTATTTTTCCTTGTGGAAAGTTATGAGTAAAACAAATGAGTAAATAAGCAACTCCTAACATATTAACTTTAAAGCGTGATGTAAAATCTTGATTTTCCTCAACAATATCAAACTCATGAAAGGATTTGGGGAGGGGAGTGGTGATAAGGCATATGTGGGAGTCAGAAGTGAAAAACCGGAGGTAGACGTTTCTGTAAAGTTCCTCACTGGAGGGGATGGAGGACCCCTGCACTATCACTACAGAAGTCACTGGCCCCATGAAAAGAAGACTTTGCCCCTGAGAACTCTCACCAGGGCACACTTCATGTCCTTGTTCCACAGGCTGTAAATGAAGGGGTTCAGCAGGGGAGTTACCACTGTGTCCATGATAGCAGCTGCTGTGTCCTCTTCTATGGAATTGGAGGAAGAGGATGAGGGGCACAGATAAGCCCTGATCACTGTCCCAAAGAACAGGGCAACAACAGCAAGGTGTGACCCACAGGTAGAGAAGGCCCTGCACCGTCCCTGGGCAGAGGGGACTCTGAGGATGGCTGAGACAATGTGGATATAAGAGACCAGGATGAGCATAAAGGGGATTAAAATGACTGCTCCCCCCAAGGAGAGGAGCACAAGCTCATTGACCTGAGTGTCAGAGCAAGACACCTTCATCAGGGGTCCCAGATCACAGAAGAAGTCAGGAATGATCTTCTTAGAGCAAAAAGAAAGTCAAAAGATGAGGAAAGTGTGAGTCATGGCAACAAGACTCATAAGGACCCAGCAGGCAGTAACCAGGAGGGTGCAGCGCCGGCGGCTCATGACCATCTTGTAGTGGAGCGGGTAGCAGATGGCCACATAGCAGTCATAGGCCATTGTGGCCAGGAGAAAGATGTCCATGTCCCCAAAAGTCAAGAAGAAGTAGAGCTGAACCAGGCATCCTGTGTAGGAAATGGACCTGCTCTGAGTCTGGATGTTCACCAAGGCCTTGGGCATGGTGGTGGAGGTGAAAAGGATGTCTGCACAGGACAAACTGGCAAGGAAGAAGTACATGGGCATGTGGAGACATGCATCAGTGCCAATGGCCAGGACAATGAGCAGGTTCCCAGCCACAGTGACCACGTACATCCACAGGAACACCAGGAAGAGGATTCGCTGCTTCTCTGGTTGCTCTGAGAATCCCCAGAGGAGGAACTCAAAGATGCTGGTCTGGTTGCCTCCTGCCATGATCCCGGAAGTCTGAGAAAGAGACTTCTAGTGAGACCCATTAAAACTCTCTAAACATACTTTAGATCGTTGATGAATGTGCCATTCTCTGAACTCTAGAGAAGAAAGAATGACCTTAATGTATTTGTATTGATCACATACTATGTGCACTGTATATTTTTATTAAAACTTACTAATGTGCTAGGAAGTGGGAGAGATACAATTTAAGAGAATTAAAGTAGATTTCTTTCCTGGTTTATCTCTCTACACTCCTTTCTGTTCCAGATTTCTTTAGTTGTAATTGCTATTTCTTCAGCTGTATTCTCAGGGGTGTCAAGAAGCTTTCAGTCATTCATTCACTCATTCATTCATTCATTGATTCATTCATTCAAAAGAGACTAAATACCAGCTCTGGACCTGGTAGAGTGCCAGGTAAATAGGACACTGATAATCTTTACCTCCTGAGAATTTTCAATCTAACAGGATAGACATAATTGCCTATGTTAAAATCCTATGATATTTTGATTCAAGGTTCTTTACCCATTCAACTGACGACAAATCTCTCTCAGACCCCAGACTACCTGTTCTGACCTATCATGCCCAAACGTCAGTATTCTGAAGATAGTTTCAGGTTATCCATTCCTCCAGAAATCAATTTAGCAATCAGCTATTTAATAAAGATGTGTACAGATAACTCTTCTTCAGTTATCTGTAATGACAAAGAAGGAATCATAATCTCTAACCTCAATACACAAAAATCCTGCCCCTTTCCCATGTGTGGAACCAACTAAGGGTTAGTCACAGAGTCAGTCAGTCAGATGGAGAAAAAAGAATCATCTTTGTTACTGAAAAAGACTAAGTTGGAGAATTTATATTAGCTGTGTACACTAAATGAGCTTTGTAATACTCCTCCAAATTAATCTATTTTCCCTTTCACAGGCCTAGCTGGACAATCATGGGCCTCTCCAGAGGGGAACAGCCTGCCCTCATAAAACATAAAGCATGGAAGGACAGAACAAAGTTTTTCCTGAAAATGATCAGATTCCTGATGAGAACAGAGAAGCTGAGGCCCAAAATTCAGCAATCAGAGAAGTCACTGCAGGTATAAGAACAGAGGGTCAGGGCTATTAGTCTGGAAAGAAAGACACATCAGACTTAAATAAACTTCTGTCATCCAAGGCAGATCAAGTGATTAAAAGTAAACAAGAATAGGGGTGTCCAGCTGGCTCAGTCAGTAGAACATGTGACTCTTTATCTCAGGGTCATGAGTTCAAGCCACATGTGAGAGGTAGAGTTTACTTAAAAAAAAAAAAAAAAAGAATTTATCCACAAAAACACTTTTAAAAAAGTAAGAATAGATAATATGAAACAATAATAATAAGATATGTTTGTGAATATATGCATGTGAATATGTGTATGAATATATACATATGTATGTATATATAAATGTGTATATATACTATATATTGCTATGTTCTAGTAATAGTAATAAATACTTACTTTCAAGTTCCTATATGGCATATAAAAAAAATACATAAGGCCACAGAAAAAATTTCAAAAAATCCCAAAAAACAATAATAATTCAACTAATGATATCTGACAAAATTGCAATAAAAGTAGACATTAATAACAAAACCAAAAAACAAAAATAGCCTTTCAATCTGGAAAAACATGTTTCAGATATCTCTATTAAATAACTCTCAGGTCCAAAGGAGAAGTAAAACTCTAAATTACAGATTTAGAGTGGAAAATAAAGAAGCTGAGAAAAAGAGAGATAAACAACTAGTGGATCACGAGGGCAGAATTCGAGAGATAAGCGATACCATAAGACGAAACAACATTAGAATAATTGGGATCCCAGAAGAAGAAGAGAGAGAGGGGCAGAAGGTATAATGGAGCAAATTATAGCAGAGAACTTCCCTAATTTGGGGAAGGAAACAGGCATCAAAATCCAGGAAGCACAGAGAACCCCTCTCAAAATCAATAAAAATAGGTCAACACCCCGACATCTAATAGTAAAACTTACGAGTCTCAGAGACAAAGAGAAAATCCTGAAAGCAGCTCGGGAGAAGAGGTATGTAACCTACAAGGGTAGAAACATTAGATTGGCAACAGACCTATCCACAGAGACCTGGCAGGCCAGAAAGGACTGGCAGGATATATTCAGAGCACTAAATGAGAAAAATATGCAGCCAAGAATACTCTATCCAGCTAGGCTGTCATTGAAACTTGAAGGAGAGATAAAAAGCTTCCAGGACAAACAAAAACTAAAGGAATTTGCAAAAACAAAAGCAGCCCTACAAGAAATCCTAAAAGGGGTCCTCTAAGCAAAGAGAAACCCTAAAAGCAACATAGACCAGAAAGGAACACAGACAATATACGGTAACAGTCACCTTACAGGCAATACAATGGCACTAAATTCCTATCTTTCAATAGTTACCATGAATGTAAATGGGCTAAATGCCCCAATCAAAAGACACAGGCTATCAGACTGGATTAAAAAACAACACCCATCGGGCGCCTGGGTGGCTCAGTTGGTTAAGCGACTGCCTTCGGCTCAGGACATGATCCTGGAGTCCCTGGATCGAGTCCCGCATCGGGCTCCCTGCTCAGCAGGGAGTCTGCTTCTCCCTCTGACCCTCCCCCTTCTCATGTAATCTCTCTCATTCTCTCCCTCTCAAATAAATAAATAAAATCTTTAAAAAAAAAAAAAACAAAAAAACAAGACCCATCGATATGCTGTCTGCAAGAGACTCATTTTAGAACCAAAGACGCCCACAGATGGAAAGTGAGGGGGTGGAAAACCATTTACCATGCTAATGGACACCAAAAGAAAGCTGGGGTGCCAATCCTTATATCAGACAAATTAGATTTTAAACCAAAGACTGTTAATAAGAGATCAGGAAGGACATTATATCCTACTTAAAGGGTTTATCCAAAAAGAAGATCTAACAAATGTAAATATCTATGCCCCTAACATGGGAGCAGCCAATTATATAAGGCAATTAATAACAAAAGCAAAGAAACACATCAACAACAATACAATAATAGTGGGGGACTTTAACAACCCCTTCACTGAAATGGACAGATCGCCTAAGCAAAAGATTAACAAGGAAATAAAGACTTTAAATGACACACTGGACCAAATGGACTTCACAGACATATTCAGAACATTCCATCCCAAAGCAATGGAATACACAGTCTTCTCTAGTCCCCATGGAACATTCTCCAGAATAGATCACATCCTAGGTCATAAATCAGGTCTCAACCGGTACCAAAAGATTGGGATCATTCCCTGCCTATTTTCAGACCACAATGCTTTGAAACCAGAACTCCATCACAAGAGGAAAGTCGGAAAGAACTCAAATACATGGAGGCTAAAGAGCATCTACTGAAGAATGCATGGGTCAACCAGGAAATTAAAGAAGAATTTAAAAAATTCATGGAAACCAATGAAAATGAAAACACAACTATTCAAAATCTTTGGGATGCAGCAAAGGCAGGCCTAAGAGGAAAGTATATAGCAATACAAGCCTTTCTCAAGAAACAAGAAAGGTCTCAAGTACACAACCTTACCCTACACCTAAAGGAGCTGGAGAAAGAACAGCAAATAAAGTCTAAACCCAGAAGGAGAAGAGAAATAATAAAGATCAGAGCAGAAATCAATGAAATAGAAATTAAAAGAACTAATAGAACAGGTCAACGAAACTAGGAGCTGGTTCTTTGAAAGAATTAACAAGATTGATAAACCCCTGGCCAGACTTATCAAACAGAAAAGAGAAATGACCCAAATCAACAAAATCATGAATGAAAGAGGAGAGATCACAACCAACACCAAAGAAATACAAACAATTATAAGAACATATTATGAGCAACTCTATGCCAGCAAATTAGATAACCTGGAAGAAATGGAGGCATTCCTAGAGATGTATCAACTACCAAAACTGAACCAGGAAGAAATAGAAAACCTGAACAGACCTATCACCAGTAAGGAAATTGAAGCAGTCATCAAAAATCTCGCAAAAAACAAAAGCCCAGGGCCAGATGGCTTCCCAGGGGAATTCTACCAAACATTTCAAGAAGAATTAATACCTATTCTTCTGAAACTGTTCCAAAAAATAGAAACGGAAGGAAAACTTCCAAACTCATTTTATGAGGCCAGCATTACCTTGATCCTCAAACCAGACAAAGACTCCATCAAAAAGGAGAATTACAGACAAATATCGCTGATGAACATGGATGCAAAAATTCTCACCAAAATACTACCCAATAGGATCCAACAGTACATTAAAAGGATGATTCAGGTGATAGGAGCAAGATGGCGGAGGAGTAGGAGACCTGGATTTCGTCTCCTCTCAGGAATTCAGCTGGATAGGGATCAAACCATTCTGAACACCTACAAACTCAACAGGAGATCGAAGAAAAGAAGAGCAACAACTGTCTCAGCAGAAAAGCGACCACTTTCTGGAAGGTAGGACGTGCGGAGAAGTGAATCCGAGGCGATATTCGGGAGGATAGACGGCGGGGGAGGGGCCTCCGTCGACCGCTTCTGGCAAGTGATAGAACCAGGGAGCACAAAATCGGAACTTTTAAAAGTCAGCTCCGCCGAGGGACGTCACTCTGGTGGCTCAGCGGGGGGTGGGACCCTCCGGGACAGTGTGGTCTCAGGACCCTCGGGGTCACAGAAAGACCGGGGGTGCCTGAGGGCAGCAGAGCTCCCAGGTAACGCAGCAGGGAAGCCGGCTGCAGAGGCGGAGCCCAGGCGCGGGCTCTCAGCTGGGGTTGCCATTAACCGCGATCCGCGGCCCAGTCAGGCCCCTGCTCCTCCAGCAGGGACCCAACAAGCGGCCGATCCGGGGAGACTCACCTTCCTCCCCCGGGAGGAGCCGCGCGGGAGTGCACCGCAGGGATCTGCTGGGTTTGGAGACTCCAGACCGGGTCCGGTGCCAGAGATAGAAACGCGTGGTCACAGGCCGGTTGAGCACGGAGTGCAGCTGCAGACCGGGGAGACGGGAGTGACTGACGGCTTTTCTCTG